AAGCTTAATATTTGCCATGAACCATTGTCAATTATATAAATCAGTGGCGTCGCCCTAACCTCAATCTACCTGTTCAACAACCTAAATAACGTTTACAAAGTTGTTGAACAGGTAAAAAGTGAGGTTACGCGATGCCACTGAGATAAATTGAAAGTGTAAACACAAGCACAAAAGTCGAACCTAAGGGTTGCTAAACTCATGGGATATTGACTTCTTGTATGATACACTTCGGCCTACTTTGGAATGATCGGCACAACACTTGGCACAGCTTTCGGCACTGTCAAAACTCTTGGCACAGATTAAGGTGTGCAGAATTGAATACCTCTTGACCGAGGTACATATAATTTCGAATGTTGAGACTTTAAAAAAGTCCAACAAAATAATTAATAATTTCAGGCAAAAATCGTTGCAATCCTCAATTGAAACAATTAATTCCCTTGATATTTAGATAAGATTTAGTTTTTTTTAAGATGACAATTGCAGGTATAGAAAATCTGTTTAAAATACTGAATTACCAAAGCAGGAACAAAGTGAAGACAATTAGATATATATCATAAGTTACTTTAGTATCTGGAGCACCTAGGTTAAAATGAAATGTAGTTTAATTTGAATTTGAACCAAATAAAGAGTAAAAAAATCAAAATGTGAAATGTTTGATTCCGAGGAGAATACTTATTAATTTTTTAGGGGAATTTAAAAGGAATTAAAATTTTAATTCAAGAGAAAATGCGAGGAGAATGACTACAAAATTCTGATAAACATCCTAAGGGAGTTATGACCAGGAATCCAAGATAATTCAGAGATAATGTCCTAAGGATTTCTGAGATGAATTTTCAAGGAGGTTCTGGGGAGAAAAAAGAAAGTTCTGGGCTGAATTCCTAGATAATTCTTAGAATACTTCCATAGGAGTTGCGAAAATCAAAAGCAGTTTCCTTTCACCGTAAGGAGATTCTGAGGAGAATTTTGTGTGGATCGTGAGGAGGATAGCAAGGGAATTTTAAGTATAATTCAAAGAAAATTTTGACGAGAATTCAAAGTATTCAAACAGTATTTAAGGGAGGACACATGTTGAGATCTCTAAAAAGTGGGTTTTCAACTAAATTTCAACTTTATTTTCGAAAATTTTCAGCCCAAAATTTTGATTTGAAATTTGTAAAAATACCAAAATGGCAGCGTTCGAAAAAAAGTTCGATTTTTCGTTGAAAAAATCGCTACTCAAATGCGCGTAAAAATCGAAAAGTTGGAATATCCAGTTTCTGTTGCAGGGCTGCCAACAGCGGATAAATAATTATTTGGCTGAACTTTTTCGAAAATAAAGCTGAATTGATTGCATTTAAACCCGATGTGATTGCATTTATTCTAACGACCTAAAAAAATATAAAATATCTCAACAGGTGTCCTCGTTTGAAGGGTGTTCAGATGATGATTAAAATGTGAGAACATGTTCAAAAGAATTGAATTCTCAGATTAGGGGAAAGTTGGGTAATATGGCCAATGGGACAATGTGGCCACCCGCTTAAAAATCAACTTATTGAACATATTTTACAAAAAACCTGTTGCAGGTTTAATGTTTCAATACTTCAACTATCCATTTCATTTAAGTCTAACAAAATACTTTTCTCTAGAGCAAATATTCGAAAAATGTTAGACTAGCTCAAAATGTCAAAACTGTTATAAGATTTCTGAATCAGAAAATAAGGTCTATCAGTCGGCGAAAGCCATCATCAACTCACGCCTAACCTACGGAATCGAAGCTATGTTCCTTGCCAAGCCCCGATTGATCGAAAAGTTAGCGCCGGTCTGGACTCTATCAGGAGACGACAAGGAAGATTCCCTCCTCACGGAGGCGAACAATTCACTCAGGGAAGCATCCAACCCGACTCTCCGCCCAATATCCAAGGTTCGGAGCGAGGGGTTGGAACAAGCCGAAGATTCTGACCGACCACACAATCAAACACCAATTCAGAGCTGGTGCCAATCCTTCAGCGATGGCACAAGCGGTACTCGAACTCCAGAAACGGAAATACGGAGGATACACCATTCGGTACTCGGATGGCTCGGTAGCCCAGGGAAAGGTAGGAATCGGGATTTTCGGTCCAAACCTCGCGGAATGCCATAGACTCTCGGATGAGTGGTCCATTTTCTCTGCGGAAGCCATTGCCGCCTTCATTGCAGCCATCATTCCCGACGACCGACCAATAGCCATCTTCACCGACTCCGCTAGTGTGGTAGCCGCACTGGAATCCGATACAAGCAAACACCCTTGGATCCAGGCTATACAGGAACACGCACCAAACAACACAGTCTTTGTGTGGATACCTGGACACTGCGGGGTCCATGGTAACATAAAAGCGGACCAACTAGCCAACTCAGGTCGTTGTATGACCAAGTACACGCGAATTGTACCTGGTCCGGACCTCAAAAAATGGGTATCAAAAATCGCCAACGAAAAATCAGAAAAATTAAAAGAGACATCTCCAGGTGGGCGGACCCACCGATACATCGAGAGCAGGTCATAGCAGTGTTGGAAAAGTTCGCGATATTTCACGAAGTTCACCAAGGGAAAAGTTCGCGAGTCATAGTGAGTTTACGCGAACTTTTCCATCACTGGGTCATAGTATCCCGACTTCGAACACATCATACAAACATCTCCCACAACTACAAGGGAGACGGACTTTTCCATAGGATCTGTGATCTATGCCGAATTCCACAAACGGTGGATCACATTATCTGCCACTGTCCGAAATACGAAGCACCAAGAACCCACTACGACATCCCGGGAAGCATCAGCGATGCCCTCGGTAACGATCCTACCAGAATTACAGCCCTTTTAGCTTTCCTGCGGGAAGCTGAGCTGTTCGATCTAATCTGATCACCGGAACCAGAATCTCACAACTAACCACCCACATCAGCAACTATACAGATCAACGCAACGAAAACGGAATTCTTCAACAAAATGACAGTATTAAGACAGCCACTAAGCAACTAAGGGACCCCTTTCGGAGCCCCACCCTCGGAGGTTCCCTTCCAGGGCCACCAAATTAAAAACTCCGTAGCTAAAAACTCTGTTTCTTTTCGGAAATCCCCTCTGGGATCCAAACTATGTTGTTAGGGTAATTTCCCTCTGCAATTCCCCCCCCCCCTCAAATAGGGGATTTCCCATCTGGGATTCCCAGAGACGAACCAGCCCAAGGCTGACAGTCTCTTTAGTAAAGAAAAAAAAATAAGGTCTATCAGTAGTTTCTTATAACTTATCGTTGATATTCCTTCAGCAGCTTTATAAATGGTTATTGGTTTCTTATATGATGGGATGTTTTTCTAGTTTTTAATAAACATTAAAGATTTTCTTAACAAAATATTACTTAAGTCCATTCGGGGCAATATGAGCACCACTGATATTTCAACTAAATTCTTCAATTTTGCATCATTCCTTTCATAAATATGACTGTATCATATGAAATCACGATTAGAAGCAGCTGCTGAAAAAATATAGCCCTAAAAAGGCAGTACTTCTTAAATTTAATTTAATTCACAGAAAATAATTGCTTCTTTTAAATCTTTTTATGCTAAAACTGTTCATTGTTGACCCTTCATAAAGCCTCAAGAGAGCAGAATATTCTTACCCGTTGTTTGCAAGGTCACTCAAACCACCCCGACAGTATGCTCATTTTACCCCAACGGTTTAATTTCGGTTACAAAACGAATATTTTTTAAGTCTTCTTTCATTAGATTCAAATGTTTACTTTTTTTATTTGTATTTATGATGTAAATAGGGCTTGAAACTATCCATTTGGTTAAACATCATTCGACTGAATTTCCACTGAATTTTTTATGATTAGTGATGATTTCCTTAAGATGACCAAACTGCTCCACTTTTCCCCTATAGAAACCAAAACTTTTTTTGATTTTAAATGGGTTAATATTAAACAATATTAACGATTTCAGGTGTTTAATTTTGACAAACTTTATAATAAGTTGGTGCAAAAAAACACATCATCAGTTATAGTAAACATTACCTATATTTATAAAAATAAAAAAATCTGCAACTTATAACTTAAGTTACCAACGTTTATTGATTTTTCCCGGTTCTCCCGTCAAATTCCCGGTTTTCCTTCGTAACTTTCCAAATTCTTGGTTTTCTCGAATCGCTACCCTAATAAAATTTGTATGGCTATTTTGCTTAACGACGTGTTCAGGATATCATCCAAAACATGTGGAATAGTTACACATGTTTACCACAAACTACTACTCCAGCAAACATTTAGTTCTTTTTTGGATACTGGGATTTTAACAAAACTAGAGAAACCCATCCAAATGCTAAAATAAAGCGAGATATCCGAAATAACAAGATATTGACCTAGAGATTGTCCTAGATTGCTAGTTTTCCTACCACAGTAGGTTTAGTGCATACCTTTCGACAAATTCAATAATCTAAAATTCCATCGGAGCACAGTCTTCACTTGATGTAGTTTCAAGGATTGTGCCCTTGTCCTCTTTGCCGGAATTCTGGAGCCACCAGTGAGTGCTCCTCGATTATTAAACTTTCATTCGAGTGAAGTAGTTAGTACACCAATTAGGTGCCCACCACTAACTTAAATTCTCTCACACCTACATAAACATTCCTCGTCACTTCGTCTGCTACATTGTTACCATTTGCTATCAAAAGCCATTGAACCAGATCAATCGACAAGCCTCACGAAACGTGTAATGTCAAAGGTGCAGCTGCAACCCCGACACCATGACCTCATAAAAAGCACGAAACTCAATCGAGATTGTATCATCTCCGCCTGCCAGCCCCCACCCGAAAAAAAATGTCAACTTTCACTCCAATTTCTCGTCACCTTCGGTCTGTTTTAGATAACTAACGAGGTCTCCTCATTCAATGCAACCTCGCTCGCGCTTCGTTTCGCAGCGTGCTTGCTTCCCCCATTGCCCCAATCCATTCATTCCCCCGCCAGCTGAGTTGCTGCTGGCTGAGCTGATTTCGAGAGCACTCTTACCTTGTCCTCTTTTTCGTTGATTGGGTCGTGGCGGTTGGTTGGTTGGCTGCTTGGTGGCACACTCGGCCAAGTAGTAGCTGATGATGACGCTGCTGCTGATGATGATGGTGCTACTTGCCGTCGTCGTTGTTACGATAAAACCAGGCAACGCACTTACCCTGAAGGTCCACTACTGCCGTTTGCGTTCCGAAAGACCACACAACTTCTCCTCGACAGAACTAGATTTTGGTCCACCTACTTTTTTTTGATCTGTCTGTTCACAGCAGCGCTCGCCGTCTCAAACCTTCGTCGTTGAATCGATCACGAAATTCGGTCACCATACTCTCATGAGCCCAATTTGCAAACACACAAGATAGGTACAGAAACAAGGACAGAAAGAACTTCTCCCGGAGTCAACTTCTTGATCACGCACCTTGTTTTCTTGGTTCAAGCACACCGATGACCGACCGACCGGAGAGCGTGTCCTAATTTTTCTAGGTCAACGACGTCGAACGCGACACTATTGCCTGGCTCCGTGTGGCGGTAGTAGGAAAAGTCCTTCGAAACGAGAGCTCTCTTCCAACAACAGGCACCACAAACTCACTATTTTGCTTTACAACACCGAAGTGGGCTGCAGCTGTAGCAGCACTAGCACCATGTATTTTTTTACACACAAACGATGACGACGGCTGCGGCGGTGAAGGAGGTGCCCTAGAAATGCACCCCAAAGCAGATGAGGCAGCCCCACGAGGGAGGAATGAAAAAAAAACACCACACAGACACAACAGCAATGAGCAACAACAACAACGTTTGCAAAACTTTGGCACAAAATTTAATGGCCAGCGACGGAATAAAAACACGCGTCCACACCGTGAAGGCTACCGAACAAGTCTGACCGACTGCGTCGCAGACGGCGACGGCAAGCTTCAACAACTTCAAAGAGCAGCAGCTCCCGAGACGGCTAATACATAGGTGTAACACGAGACGGCTAATACATAGGTGTAACAGTCGGAAGAAGTGTTAGTTTGTTTACTTAAATGAACCATGCCCATTTTGTTATGGCATGTTTGCTATACGAAATGCGCCTCGTGTTTATTAGCGAATTTCACATCAAAGATTGATTAATTGAGTAGGAAATCAGTTTGGCACGGCATTTGTGACCAGCATACACCTTCCGGTAGCGAGACGGCTAATACATAGGTGTAACAGTCGGAAGAAGTGTTAGTTTGTTTACTTAAATGAACCATGCCCATTTTGTTATGGCATGTTTGCTATACGAAATGCGCCTCGTGTTTATTAGCGAATTTCACATCAAAGATTGATTAATTGAGTAGGAAATCAGTTTGGCACGGCATTTGTGACCAGCATACACCTTCCGGTAGCGAGACGGCTAATACATAGGTGTAACAGTCGGAAGAAGTGTTAGTTTGTTTACTTAAATGAACCATGCCCATTTTGTTATGGCATGTTTGCTATACGAAATGCGCCTCGTGTTTATTAGCGAATTTCACATCAAAGATTGATTAATTGAGTAGGAAATCAGTTTGGCACGGCATTTGTGACCAGCATACACCTTCCGGTAGTATGAAACAGGTCAAAAACTGTTGAAATCCGCAGATAAAATTTTTGTTTTGAATTTCTGTATAGCAAAATAGTGAACTTTTCGTGAACATTAACGGCAAAGAACTCACCAACACTGGGAGACTGTGAGTTCCTGCCCACCTGTTCATTTTCCATCGTGTTCCGGTAGTATGAAACAGGTCAAAAACTGTTGAAATCCGCAGATAAAATTTTTGTTTTGAATTTCTGTATAGCAAAATAGTGAACTTTTCGTGAACATTAACGGCAAAGAACTCACCAACACTGGGAGACTGTGAGTTCCTGCCCACCTGTTCATTTTCCATCGTGAGCAGCTCCCAACATTGAGATTCGGATTCCACTGCGAAGTCGATCGCTCGCTAGTTCGCGGTAAAAAAAAACGAAGAAACGAAGATACACAGGTAAAAAGGTACATACAGGTAGAAAGTGCGTTTGTAGCGTTACGTCAATAATTAAATGTTGATTAAGTACTATAATTTTTCATATTTGGATTATTTGCTTTTTTTAAAGCATTTAAGAGATAAAACTTCAAACTAATCTAACCAAATTAATGATCTTTTAAAATAACATTCGAAAATACAAGAGAAAACGTCATTATTATTAAATTTCTACATTCATAAACTCAGCTAAAACATAATTTGGAGATCACCTTTAGAAACGAATCTTTGAGTTTTGTTCGGAACTCCACTGCTGTACACGCTGCACACACACACACACACACACACACACACACACACACACCATAAATAAAAAGTAGCGCACTTTTTGACAGTTGCAAGGATGTGAAAAGTACACGGGGTTCACCCAGAAACCGTTCCCGGGAAATTCAGTACACTACGTCCGTTAACCTCGCCGTTAACTGAAAAACTTTAAACCCTGCTGTTACGGACGTGGCAACACCAGTTCGTCAGAATATTTAGATTAATACACACAGAGTTTAGATTACCGAAGCCGGTAAAATTTTACTGGGTTTTAAACAGCTGAGTTTTCAGCAATCAATTCAATAGTTTTTGGTTTAACTGAAAACTCGGTAAATGGAAAAATCCCTGAAATGTCAAAATTTACCGTTTTAGTCAGTTAATGAATTGCTGACTTTTTCAGTAATTTATTTGTTTACATTATTTTTGCTGAGTTTTTCAGTATTTTGATGAATATATATCAATGAGTAGTAAATCAATTATTTCGGATTTTTTAAGATTTTTATTAGGGGACTCAGGCTTATTTTGTTTAGAGGCATAATAGCATTTTTTTTTCCTTTGGTTTGTTTTTTCCGTCGATCTTGTTTTCCGTGCTGAGCACCAATGCTACCGACGTGCCAGGAAGGCAGCTCCCACACCTGGACCCTACCTATCGACCCATCAACTCATGAACCGAGGACCAACGGCTTTACTTCTCATCCGAAGGAAGGCGTGATCAGAGATGTTATGCCTCAGAACATCCCGGCGGCACCGACTGGGATTGAACCCAGGCCTGCTGGGGTGAGAGGTAATCACGCTTAGCACTACACCACCGGCGCCGTTAGGCATAATAGCAATGATGCTGTTTAAACTTATCTTGAACTATAGTCCAGCTTAAGCGCTCAATACTTCCTCGTGGTTCAGCCGGCTGGTTGCTTTCTTGGAGTGCCAGATTGCGTGCTTAAGTCTCGAGCACTGCTACACACAATTGAAATTCTTGGCCGCAAATTCAATGTAACATCTGGAAGTCGATGTAGGAGTGCAGAAACTGCCGAATTTCGTGAATGATTCTGCACTCCTGCGTTGACTTCCAGTCGTTTAACTTATTTTCACAAACATGTTGCTGTTTTCACACACAAATTTCTGAAGTCAAGTGCACGAGGTGGAACCATACACTGTTATAAAGCATTTATTAAATCTATATGCTCATTTGTGACTCTGAATTGTTTGACTGAACCAGTGTTGTGGAATAATGAATCTAATACGTCGTTTATAAAGCATTTACAAGGCATGCAAGTGGTATAAGAGCTAATTTTGTTGACTGTATTCACCTTTATACAGCAATATTGTAAAGCAATACCATGAAATCTATTAATGGAGCTATAAAACATTTATAAGATGTCTAATACAGCATTTTATTAAATCAATTGAAAACAGTCGAATTAAAGCGTAAATGTATGCGCAAATTACACTTATTCAGTTTGTTATAAGATCAAACTTCTGGTTCTGAATCAGGAAGACAGTCAACGTCTAGGGGAAGGTCAGGTCCAAGTATCAGCATCAATATCAATGGTGGAAATATTAAATATTTTAATATGTGTGATATTTGCGAATCTTATACTTAGTCTGACAGTTGTTTTTTTTTTTGTTTTTGACTATTTTTGATTTGAAGTGTACATTTGACATTCGTTTAATGAAAAATGGATTTCACCAGAGGCAAGTCATTGTTTGATGATCTTACTGGCCACCGCCACCAAAATTCGCTCCTTGTTCTAAAAAGTTCGGCATTATTTGTTAGCTGATCTCAGTGCACATAATCGGTCGCATTTCTGTCCCAGAAAATAGTCATTAATTCCACGAATTCTTCATCGTCTGCGAACCAATGTGCTGTCCTCCGATAGAACGGGAATCGACTGACTACGCCTCCCCTGTAAACGGAGTCCCAGAGTCATGGTTCCGTGGTCGTATTACACTCGACTTGCCATGGGCCTGCAACTGGCAAAATTTGCTGCTGGGGGAACGTCCAGTACCGTTTTTATCATGAAAAGTCGAAGTCACAATCGATCAGAGCTATCGAAAACGAAAATGCCAGCAAAAATGAAAGCTGCAGTAAACATAAACAACAACGGTGAAACGTCATTGAGTGTATGCGTTAAAGTTACACTGTTATTTTTTTTTACTTTGAAGCTGACTGCTTGATAGTTAATATCATTAATATTTATACTAAAAATTATACTAACTACCAATTTGAGCAATTTTTACACCAAATATTACTTCAGATCAAGTTGCACTTCCTCTAGGTCCTCGCCTAGGTCAACGTTTATAAAGCTTTTAATACGTAAATTAGTCATATCAGAGCAAACGAAATAAACGGAATAAAGGCTCATCTTTCGATCTCAATGAGCTTTTTTCAGCACATAATTCGACATCCTGTTTTATTCAGCAATGTACACTGTTATACAGCATTTATTCAATGTGTATGCTTATTTGTGACAGTGAATTGTTTGTTGGGGAGTTTCCCTGGAAGTCTGATCAGCTCTACTGGAGTAAATTTGAGACACCGAACTCGTTATTGTGTAAGCACAAATGCGATTTATGCCGAATATTTGAACAAACTTTATCGTATTTTCAGGATGAATTATGCAACGGCACTTGATATATCATCTCGTATGGCATGAAGCTTGCATTACACGCACAGTTTCAACACAATCGGACAAGGGGTGCTTCTGTTGGATATGGACTTTTCGAATCGCTCTTCGCTGCCAGCAGGTAGAGGCATCATTTCCTTCAACACGCATGCACACATGTACAACGTGATTTTATTTGATTTTAATCAATTTCATTCTCATATGACCAAGCTAGGAAGCTGTAGTGATCGTAACTGATGGGTTAAGTTATCTGCTTCTTGAAAACCCTGAGTTTGAACAGCATAAACAACAGCAACTGTAAATTTCTCAAACACTGCTGCTATCTATGTAATGGAGGAGTCCCGCAGGGAAATTGTCAGTTTTAAGGCTGTCAGTATATTGGGTATATTGGGTTTGCAGCTTAATTTGAAAGACAAATGGGTGTGTCGATATGGAAACATATCATTATGTTAGGTAATGTTAACAATATTTTACATTGAAAAATAAAAACAGTTATTCAAAACTTTTAATTTTGATATTCAGTATACAATAAATTTCGATGTTGAAAATGCTTTTATTTAAATTAAACATATTTTATATATTTAAATCAAAGAGGCACATATGTCAATATATATATACAAAGCTTTTATGTTGAAAGTTTACTGCCAATACTCGCATAATTGTCCCATCGTTGCCTGATTTTCTATTTATATGGGACGACTTTCTACCAAAAAGAACCAATGCAAACTTTAAATTTAACCCATATTTTTTTTTTTTAATTTCATTAGCGATATTTTTTGTGACAGATATATTGATGAATTGCAGCAATGCCAGATGTCGCTACTGAAAAATGAGTATGACTGTCGATCTAACGATAACATAAACTGCCATTTGTGGCAAATTGGAGAACTCGAAAAATGGTGATGGTTTCATAATTTTGGACAGCGAAGCAAATAATTTTTAATAATTTCGGTCATGCATACGGAGTAGGAAAAGTTGAAACCTGTACATCTGAACGAAAACTAAGAAAAATAATAAAAATTTAAAATTATACGTCTATCGGATAGCTGTTGAGGTTTCTACCCCGACATTTTCAAGTCGAGCCCATACGATTCCCGACCAACCATTTTGTTAATTTTCTTTAATTTTCTATACATCGATCTTCAAAGCCATTCATAAGAAAAATCGATAGCGATCGTCACCATTTCATGAATAATTGTAAAGATGCTAAAAGTCTAATCCAGAATCGTTTATAAAGATCTGTCTCAAAATATTGCTACCAATCGTTACCAATGTTAAAATATCGATTGTGTTGCCAGATCAAAATATCGATTTCTGTTGTAAAATCAAAATATCGATACACAACTGCTGATTTTATTTGTGATTTTTTATCTGCATAATTTCTAGTTTCGATCCCAGGCCATCTGGGGTGTACTGATTTCGTTGTTGGTTGCTAATCCTCGGGTCCACGGCTGCTGTTGATGAGCTTATCAACGACAGGCAAACACACTCTAGTATGTGGTGTATTAAAATTTCTGTAAATCTTTTCATACATGAATTCAATATTGTTTTGTCATAACCATCAACCAGTCAGCCATGTAGGTGTAATAGAGGTCAAAAAGGTATTAATTTTCCTCATTGGGTTCCAAATGCCGAGAATCCCACCACGCATGCTATCACGGGTTATTAAATATAAAACGTGAAGAACTACAATGGTAAACATTTGCTGCGTCACGGCCATCGGTCTTCTCGTTCATTTACCAGCAGATTGCTTCTTCCGATGAAATGCCGAATATGTCGATAAATAATATTAACATTGCTATCTGTCACCTGGTGTGTCTCGAACTCTCTTTAACCACCGATGCAAATCGATAACAAGGAGATTATAAATGTGCATCGATGGCAATCTTTGTTGTTCTTTGTCAAAGTTCAAAGTTACGACGATATCAGTATTTAAATATTTATTGATGAATATTTGTAAAGAATACTAAAGTCCATGTGACATATCGAAATTAAAAGAAATTTAGTATGGCACCTTTATAGATTACTATCATATGACCGATGAAGAAATAATCTTAAATGTAAGTATCGAGCAATAAAGATTTTTAAATGTGTACGTCGAAATCATAGAAAATTTAAAGTAAAGAATTGCCGACATAAATCTTTATTTCTGTATAAAGCACTTTGAAGAAGTTTCACGAACGGGTCGGGTTCGAAATTGCTTACTCTCTGGTAATGCGTGGCATGATACACCTAATTCTAGAAAAAAAATCCCGGATTCCGTTTGTAAACCGGTTCCTAATGCTGTTCAAAATTTCGTGAGCGAACTGTACTCAATTGCGCTACTTTTTTACGCAGCTCGTTCCCAACAACACCAACACACAAACACTCACGCATGTGTTTTTTCGTTTTTTCTTCCCTGTTTTCCGACGCAAATTGACAGTTGACATTGTGACAGCCAGCACGAAGAAAAGCGGAAAAAAATCAATCATTTTGCACGCAGTGAAATAAAGCGCATTTTCATTTTTATTCGCTATTTTCCACGGAATACGCTACCGAACTTTGTGCCAATGATTCAGTGAATTGCCGGTGCGCGCGTGAAAAGTGTTCTAATCCGATCCGAGAATGGCCGTAGTGATCGAAACGACCATCGGCGATGTCACGGTGGATCTGTACCTGACGGAACGTCCCCGTGCGGCCCTGAACTTTCTGAAGCTGTGCAAGTTGAAATACTACAACTTTAACTTGTTCCACACTATCCAGCATGGATTCATCGCACAAACGGGAGATCCCGGTGGTTCCGGCGAGGGAGGTTCGTCGATCTGGGGAGTGCTGGAGGGGAAGCACAAACGATACTTCGAAGGGGAAGCCGTGCCGAAAATTAAGCACGCCGAACCGGGACTGCTGTCCATGGTGTGCGCTGGAGAGGGACTGATCGGGTCGCAGTTCTTCTTCACGCTGGGACCAGATTTGGCATCACTGGACGGTGGAGGACATGTGGTGATTGGAGAAGTTACCGAAGGCCATGAAGTGTTGCGGAAGTTGAATGAAGCCATTTGCGACGAGAAGCATCGTCCGTACAAGGATGTCAGGATCACGCATACGGTCGTGCTGGAGGATCCTTTCGATGATCCGAGAGGATTCCGTGAGCCGAGCAGATCGCCGTCACCGTCGGCTGAGCGACTTGCCGGAGGGAGGATTGCCGCGGATGAAGAAATTGACGATACCGAGGGCAAGACGGTGGAGGAAATAGCGGAGATGTTGGCCGAGAAGGAGGCCAAGGCACGAGCTACGATTTTGGAAATAGTGGGAGATATTCCCGATGCCGATATTGCACCGCCGGAGAATGTGCTATTTGTTTGCAAGCTAAACCCGGTGACGACGGATGACGATCTGCAGATCATCTTCAGTCGATTTGGGAAGATCAAGGGGTGCGAGGTGATCCGGGATAAAGTTTCCGGGGACTCGCTGCAGTATGCTTTTATTGAGTTTGAGGATAAGAAATCCTGCGAGGATGCGTACTTCAAAATGGATAACGTGCTGATTGACGATCGGCGCATTCACGTTGACTTTTCGCAATCCGTGGCGAAGGTACGCTGGCGAGGAAAGGGCAAAGGAATTGAGTTCTTGGATGGAAGCGACAAGAAATCATTCAAGGACATCGATTACAAAGATACAAGGAGAGATCGCAAGCGGGCTCCAAGTCGGCTGAGGAAGTCGGTAAGTTCCGGATCGAGATCCAGCAAATCTGCCTCCCGTAGTCCGAGACGTAGACGTAGTCCTGCGAAGCGACAGACAGGAGGCGGAAGAGGTGGTGGCCGCAGAGGGCGTTCGCCATGGCGCCGCAATAGTGGTGGTCGCCGTGGGGGAGATAATCGTGAGAAACGCGACAAACGAGTCCTGTTGGCGGATAGTAATGCTTTTCACCATGAAGAACGTAATGGGCGAGACATTCGGGTGGTCCAAGGCAAGTTGGACTACAAGAATCGCCCTTATCCATCCAGTTTCATAAAACGTAATGCGACGGGAGGACGGGCCGCCGGTGGAGGAAGCCGCAGTTCCCGTTCGCCGGTTCGAAACCGACAGCAGCGTCGTTCTCGTTCCCGTGATCGTCGTCGGTCTTCCCGCTCACGTAGTATCAGTTACCGTAGGAAACCGTCGGAATCTCCCGACCGTCCTCAGCGCCGTGATCGTGATCGAAGCCCACTCGAACGTCGTTCGTGGAGAAGTCGTTCCCCGCTGCGCCGTAGATCCCGCTCGCCGGAATGCAGCCGAAACCGTCGGGATTCGAGCCCTCCGACCCGTCGCAATCAATCCCCCCTCCCCAGATCCAAAGCGGTCGCTTCGATTGACAAACATGGCAGCAAAAAGGCAAAGAAAAAGCATTATTCATCGGATGCTTCCGAGTCCGATTCACCGGGTAGATCGTCCTCCGATGAGCGTTCCAAGAAGAAAAGCAGCAAGAAGAAATCTTCGTCCAGCAAGAAAAAGTCCAAGAAGAGCAAGAAGTATTCATCCGGCGGCAACAGCAGCGCTTCGGACTCCAGCGACGACGACAAAAGGAAGAAGAAGAAGAGCAAGAGCAAGAAAAAGAAGAAGTGAACTTGATGATTTGCGAATTGATAACGAATAGTCAGTAAGAAGCATCCCCGTTAACTCTAAATACGAACTGGTGACGAGCTGATTACCTACTGCTGATGAGCCTTTTCATGATTGAACTTTAATTGATTGGATATTGGATGTAATGAAGAGAAATTGTGCAAAATAACTCGCTGAGTGTGCAACTTCCGTTGCACACGTGTTTCATTTCTTCACCTAGATGGTTAATTATATTTATAGTTTTTTCTTTCTGTCAACGTTCCTTTTCAGCCAGGTACCGGACTTAGATTCCCATTCGGTACAATCCACTCGAAAGCCCCTGCCTTGGCATATCGATCGGTTATCGGTTATTGGTTTCGTCCACAATAAGGTCTGTCCGCTTGATCACACGAGTACGAAACATTATCGAATTGTAGCCTTTGTAGATCGCTCCGAAATTGGTAAGTACAAATGATAAAAAAAAAACCCCAATCTAAAATGTGCATCGTCAAAGCGCAGTACTAATATCGATTGCATATCCATTGGTTAACATTACTTGCGCATCTGCAACGTGGTCATGGTGGAATGTTAATACGTACGATACGCATATGCGACATATGCCTGGGTCAACGCGTTCGATTTCATGGTCATGAGGGACTCACGATTCGCGGTTCGTACCCTCGGAAGGACAGTTCGATTAGATCCGTTGCGATGGGGGAGAAAATCGTTTGGTACACGTTACGATGATCGGTGGTACGATCCTAGTGAGTGGTCACTGTTCTCCGTGGATGAAGTTGGGGTGAGATAGCGTAAGTACATTTTCTAGGTTTTCAATTTCAATAAATCGATTTATTGGTACAAGGTCGCGACTTTTATTCTCTCAATTCTCCCATACACACGCTGCAGGTAAGTTTTACCGTTGACCCAACACAGAGCCCACAAAGCTTAACAGCCGATGTTTACTCGTTTTGTCAGTTGATTAGAATTTCATGAGTTTTTAAGGATTTTCTAGAAGTATCATTCATATTCTCGTGTTCGTTTTATTTATTGAACTTAAATCAAGTTTTTTGAGCGGTGCGTGCATTTACTTTATTTATGTGTAACATAAAACATAACATTCGTTAGGTAGTACCCTGAAGAGCAGTGTTAAAAATCAAAATCAGATGAAATTCTTTGAAATTTAACGTGTCACTTTTTGAAATATCTAAGAAAAGAGGAAAATCTATAACTGAACGAATTTGTTAACAAATCTAGATGAACATTTCAAAAGGTCCTATCGGCTTAGATCGATTCTCTTCAACGACTTTCTCTTTCGTTAATAAGGCGGGAACAAATAATAAGTTTTAAATTTGTCACCCCCCCCTCCAAAATTTCTGAAAATCATAAGGCAGGAAATTAAAAAAAAATATGTAATTTGTTTTTTTAATTGTTTGTTTATTGTTGTTTTACATCAGCAGGCTGGATGAAGCCCCAATGATTTTAACCTTATCAACTATGATAAAAAAAATACATTCAAGCATGGTCATAACATAAAAAAACATTAAAAAACCGTATATCTTATAGTCAATATCTTAACTCCTGCCGGCGAAAAACAGAAGAAAACTTTCGACGAAGCGCATCACGGGAGAGATGAAAGTCGAAAACAGATGCAACTCTGTTGAATGTTCTCTGCAGTCCGCAAATCGTACCGTACGCTCCATAATTTGTGCGACGTAGAGGCAGTCTTAGCATAAGGTTATTACGAAGCGGTCGGGGTTGAACATTCAGGTCAATTTGCCTCAGGATAGCCTCACAATCTGTCCTTCATTGTAGGATATCGGCCACGGTTAGGGCTCTGTTTGTGTCTCTTCTAGTCCGGAGAAGTTCTAGGTCGATAAGTTGACAACGGCTTTCGTAACTTGTTAATCGAAACGGATCATTCCAAGGGAATCTACGCAACGCAAAATGAAGAAAGCGACGTTGAACAGATCCAATTCTCTCGTCACCGTTGTTGTAGTTTGGGTTCCAAACCGCTGAACAATACTCAAGCGTCGATCGAACAAGCGAACAATAGAGAGATTTTAGACAGTAGATATCAGTGAAGTTTTTAGCTATCCTAAAAATGAACCCTAAAGTTCTTGACGCCTTATCAACAACATATGCAATGTGTTGCTTGAATGAAAGCTGCGAATCCAAGATCGCACCCAAGTCTTTCACCTGATTCACGCGTTCGATTGTCGAGCCAAGCAGGTCATACCCTAAAAAAAAATAACCATAAACGAACGATAACCCAAATCATTGAACTATTCCACAAATGGTTTGGATGATACCCGTAACACGTCGTTAAGCAAATTAACCATACAATTTTTATTAGGGTAGCTAAATATTATCGGTTGTTGTTTTCGTGAGAACGTAATAGCGGAGCATTCCCTAATAAAAAAATAACCATAAACGAACGATAACCCAAATCATTGAACTATTCCACAAATGGTTTGGATGATACCCAGAACACGTCGTTAAGCAAATTAACCATACAATTTTTATTAGGGTTTGGCTGGGTTCACTACCATTCTGTTTAACCTGCACCAACTAGCGAATACATTCAGTTGACGTTGAAGAAAGTGACAGTCAGCAATGGAGCAGATTCGTAGGAAGATTTTGAGGTTATCTGCATATGATAACCGAGGAGCTTCGATGACCAGATGCACGTCGTTGAAGTACAGTATAAAAATTAACGGTCCCATGTGGCTTCCCTGAGGTATACCTGATGTGGCGAAGAAGCTAGCTGATCTGCAATCTCCTATGGCAACTTTTAGTTGCCGACCGGTAAGATATGATCGAAACCAACTCAGAAGATTACCGCATACACCGAGCCTGCCGAGTTTAGCAATCGCAATAGCATGGTTCAACTTGTCGAATGCTGCGGATAGGTCTGAATAAATAACGTCCGTTTGAACCCGATCCGACATGCTTTCGGTTATATACGATGTGAGACACAGCAGATTGGTAGTTGTAGAGCGGCCGACAGTAAACCCATGTTGATCAGCACTCAAATACTGCTTGCAATGGGACAACAACGGTTCCATAATCACTAGCTCGGATAGCTTCGAAACGGCACTAAACGATGTAATTCCTCGATAGTTATCCACAGCTCGCTTCCTTCCTTTTTTTTGTGGACGGGAAACATGTGCGCAAATTTCCAGCAAGATGGAAATATGCCACCTGAGAAAGACATTCGGAACAGGCGAAAAAGCGGAATTAACAAGCTAGCAATATGTCTCTTCAAAAATACAGATGGAACTCCATCAGGTCCAGGATTGAAGGATGACTTGAGCAGAGTCGCGGCCTTAGAAATCATTTCTGCATTAACATCAATTGCACCCAGCGTTTGATCGTTTACTGGAACGTTCCTGGCAGCCAGGTTAATATGGTCGTCAGTTAGTATCTCATTAGTGAATAAACTGGAAAACTTTTCGGAAAAAAGGTGGCATATATCCTGAACAGTGGCAGCAACTTCTCCGTTGAATTCCATAGACGATGGGAGGCCGGATTCCCTGCGTTGATCGTTCACGTAGTTCCAAAAGGATTTCGGGTGTAGCTTAAGTTTGCGCTGGATGCCTCGTTGGAAACTTGAAAAGCATTCACGACTGACTCGCTGGTACATGTGATTCAGCCTCACATAATGTAGTTTCAGAGGAAGCGTGCGATACTTCGTAAATCTTCTCAATGCTGCTCTCTTGATTGACTTCAACCTACGTAGCTCTCTCGTCTGCCAGGGAGGATGAGACACTTTGTGGTGAGTTCTTTTCGGGACGTGTCTGTCAATGACATATGCCAAGACATGTGAAAAGGTTTGCGCTGCAGCCTCAACGTCATCTGGATCAAGGATGTTCTCCCATACCATGCTAGACAATACATCTATGATGCTACGGTGGTCAGCTTTACGGAAGTCATAAGAAACCGTAGCAGTATAGTCGCCGAAATCACGCACGAGTTTGTCCTCAACAGTGACAATTAGAGGAGGGTGATGTGGAACTAGCTTAGTTAGTGCACAAGGAGCCGAGGAAATTGATGGAGCCCTGTCCTGTGTGCTCACGAAGCAGAGGTCCAAACTACGACCATTTTCGTTAACTACATGGTTAATTTGAGAAAGCGTCGCTGCGCTGTAGTTGTCGAGAAGGCTAATAGCTCCTGCGTGAAATGTAGAGCTATCAGGATCTGGATACAGGAATCCGGTATGAGATGGACTCCACGAAACGCCTGGCAGATTGAAGTCACCAAAAATGAATATCTCATCAACTGGAGTGGAACTTTCGACAACTGTGAAAACTGACCAACAGTGAGTATCGATGAGTTCATTGTCGCGGACTCGATCAGGTGGAATGTACAGAGCGCATATAAATAGTGTGCGATCACCCAGATTGATGGCTGTCCAAACCTGCTCCACATTGTTCCATGAATCGTTCTCGATGGCCTTTGCCTCCAACCCGCTACGGACAGCTACAAGGACATCTCCACCAGTAGATTTACGGCTGTTGTTAGGATTCCGATCGCAACGAAAGACCTCGTAGTCAGGACCGAAGACTTGACTGGAAAGCGTTCGATAATCGAGCCACGTTTCGCACAGGACAATAATATCGTAGCAACGATCCGATACAGCTAGGCGGTACTCTTCAACATCAGAATTCATTCCACCGGCGTTTTGGTAGAAGATCACGACGTCCTGCTTGCGGCAAGGAATCGAACGACTGCTCTCCCTGGAAATCACAGATACATCAGGCAATAACTGACCATCATCAAGTCTCATTGGATACTCGCCATAGTGAGTGGGTTGGAAGACCCCCTCTCCGCATCCGACAGCAAGTCCGAAACGACTATGATGAACGAAGGCTGCTGATGGCAGGACTGAGACGGAGGGATTGGGGGCTTCCATGGGGCTTTCTACGGCGCGTTCCGGGTTTCCAGGATTAGGAGTTACAGAGGCATCATCACAATGACTAACATAGTTAGAATTGCTGAAAATTTGATCGGCATCAGTCAGTGAATAGTTAATATATTGCTGTATGGAGAAAATTTCATGCTTTTGTCGATAATTGTATCACGTTTGGTCCAAGCGATCATAATCTGTATAATAATTTATTAGTATTTAAATTTTAGTAAACAATGTTTTATCATTTTAAAGTTGCTTTTGAAGAATCAGATTTTTTTTCG